ATAAATCTATGAGTTATAAAATTTAATTTTCGATTTTTAGGTCACCTGAGTAAACTCAGGTGACATAATGCTATCCGTGTTCGTCCGCCGTCGTTCGTCGTGCGTTAACATTTGAACATTTTCAGCTTCTTCTCTGAAACCGCTTAACCAATTTCAACCAAATTTGGCATATAGCATCTATGGGTAAAGTGAAACAAAAATAATGAATTTCGTGCTCTCTGTCCCCCTTGGGACTGGGGGTGGGGCAAACCACTAAAATTAATGCAATCTTTAAAAATCTTTTTTACTTCCAGATATCAAGCATCAATACTGTTGGTATGATTGTAATCAGCATTGACACCTCTACCTAAATTGTGAAATTCATGGCCCCAAGATCAGGGGTTCTAGTGCTAGGGCGGGGTTCTATTGATTATATGGTGAAAGTGCATTATTTCTTTGAAATTCTTCTTCTCTGCTCCTGGGCATCAAATAAACTATAGCCAAGTGCACAGTAATATTGATTAAGACTGCCTCTTCCAAAACTGTGAATTTCATGGCTCCGGGGTCAAGGGTTCCAGTTCTGTGCTAGGGTGGGGCTATATATAGATTGTATAGCGCTAGCGAAAGTGCATTATTTCTTTCAAAATCTTCTTCTCTGCTCATGGGTATTAAATAAACTAACCAAGTACATAGTTGTGTTGATAAAGACTGCCTCTTCCAAATTTGTGAATTTCATATCCCCGGGGACAGGTGTTCTGGTGTTAGGGTGGGGCTCTATTGATTATATAATGAAAATACATAAATTCTTTTAAAATCTATTTTGCTCCTGGGTATTAAACCAATGAACTATGTACAAAGTTATGATAAGGAAGTATGCCTCTTTGAGATTTCTGAATTTCAGGGCCCTTAGGTCAGGAGTTCTTGCGTTAGGGTGGGACTCTAATGTTTATATAGTATATTTGAAAATCTTTTCCTTTGCTCCTGGGCAGGGACTTGGAAGGGGGTGGTTGTTACATATCTGAAAATGAAATATGTGTCTCTAGGATCAGTTCCCGCAGGATGGGGTGCACAACTGTTTATAAAGTGGAAGTGTATTTTCTCTTTGTTTCGCTGATCTACCTTTGTGTATTAAGAAACAAAAGTAAGCATTTTAAGTATATAGTTATGATAAGCAATGGTGCCTCTTTCGAAATTGTGAATTTTATGGCCTCTGGTTTAAAACATGAATAAAATTCAATTGTTGGAAAGTTATTACATGATACTCAGGTGACCTTTAAGGCCCGTGGGCCTCTTGTATAGTTTCAATATCAGATTTAACTGCACTTTAGCAAGGTATTATTAATATTATTAATGTGTCGTTTTGAAAACAATCATATACATTCCTGCGGCAGCCTACAAAAAGGCGGGACAAGAGTGTGTTTTCGGGACGGGGCATGGACAGTAGTCCTCTACGGGTGAGGGGGGTGGGGGTGGCTTAATTAATCGATTAATGTATTTAATTAAGATTCGTTGATAAAGTGGGTCTGTCTCTTCCCCTGGACAATTTACGTTCATACATAGAAGTAAAATATTGTCTTCCCACAATTTTTTATTAATATACATAACACCAAATTTTCTACTTCAATAAAAAAATTTGTGGGAAGATAATATTACAAAGTTATGAGATACTTACTGTTATTACGAGGTGCTTATTGTTATTTTTGATGGGAGGGGGGGGGATTAGTTATATGTACTTAACCATGTAAATGTAATCACGCTTAAAAGAATTTGGAAGGGGTGGGGGTTGGAGTTGATATCCCCCTTTCTCCAATATGCATTTTTTTCAACAAAGAGTGAACTGAAAATTCACTGCTTGCAAGGAATTCCCGTGCTTACAAAACAGATAATTGTAAATTAATTCATGAAATGATAATTGGTTTATTTTGATATCATAAAAATATTAACATAAACAAAAAATTGTCAATACTCCACAGTGTAGATATAAATTACTAATTCATTTTCTAAGGTTTATCATACAAACATCACTCATGGTGATTTTGTAAGGATTACATAGCCATTAGACAAGGGACTCCCTTGGATTACATAGCCACGGGCATCTGAAGGAAGGGTCAAGTATGTAGCTGGTGTAAGACAGCTTCGGGATCGATGTTCAATCTAACTCGTAAACATGGAAATCAGTGCAGAATGGGTCCATTACAACGCATTATGTTGCCCTCGAATGGATTTAGACCTCTAATAAAATACTGGGTACAACATGTACCTGTACATGTTTTGTTGCCATATGTTGCCATATTATGTATCTAATAATTACAGACTGAGACCATCATGCATATAATATATATGTTTATTTCTTTCACAGTGCACGGATGAAGGAAGGTCTTGTATGCGTTAAAAATAACGGAGAAATCTACATGTACGTTATTGCAGCTACTAATAAACAGATGTACATATACCATCATTATACATTCATGTACAATGCAGTATCACGCGCCTAGAGTAAGGTTTAATCTTACACGGGCTTTGTCGACAGCTAAATTGATAAAAAAAAACATGCCATTGAATAATTCGTCACAATGGTCATGATTTTTATCTGTTGGTACAACCGTACTAACCCGACGAATCGAAATAATAAATGGAATGCATAATTAACATAATTATATGTACTTACCTCTAACCTGAAAGTACACTAATTGTATTTTTGCCATGCTTGTGAACCGAACTCGTGAAGCACAATATTCTAGTGACAAAAACACGAAGGTTTTACCGTAATCAGTTGACCTACTTTCCGCCGCTGCTCTGTTCAAACAAAACCATTTTTAAGCATGTTAAAATTGTTTGCTCTCTGCATGTTGATTCAGGATTTTAAAAAAAATGGTCGATTTGTATGTAGAAAAAAAAACGTCCCCAGAAATTTTCAACATCAATATGCTGAATTTTTCAAACTTTTTTTAAAACTGAAGGTTTTGAAAAATTGTTGTCAGTATGTATAGAGAGCCAACGGGTTTAAAAAGTCCGAAATGAAAAAAATATATTTATATTCCTGACAATCTAATTTAAAAAAAAATTCGCTATTGTTTTGAGAAGCAATTCAGAGGATTTTAGATTAATTGGTTTCCTGTAGGAGTTGGGTTATTTTTAAAAGTCAATAAAGGGAAAACAAAACATATTATAAAATTTCTGGGATCATCCTTTTTATTTAATCTGTTGTCTAAAGTAGGTAAGTTCTGCAATGGTATTAGCTCATAGATGTAAAATATGCCAATAGTAAGCAAAATTAAAGATAACTCCAATTCATACAGAAACTTTGAATGCTCGAATTATATTTTTTTCTATTTACTGTCGATTTATGCAATTATGTCAGTAATAAATCTTTGATTTGCATTCATTGTAGTATGAATCTCAAACTCTGATCAGTAAAATACAGAAAGGATGTTTGGAAAAATCTATAGCAAAAAATGGTGAAAAAGCAGAATCCGGTAAGTCTTTGTTTAATTTGTTTTGGAGAATAAAATATACATTTTTTGATCTGAGTAAATATTCTATAGAATGTCATTTACTCATTCTGAATTATGAAAAAAGCTCAAGATTTGTTTTTGGATGTGAAGAATATTATATAATAAATATTGCATGTAGTTGAGTGTAACATTGAAAATTTTCACCCCAAGAAAACCATTGTCAACCGAGGTGCAGCTGTTGTATTTATTATATTATACTGAATGTTTTATACAAATACATATAACAGTGAACCTTGCTCGCATAAATTCTGCGCAGTCGCTATTTTTTGGAATACCACCCGTCGTCAAGCAATGTTGACTGTTGCTACGCTGGAGGCCGTGGCTTCATTATTCAGCGGGTAATAGTGTTTTTTAACAGATGTTTCTCGGCCAATCAGATTCAACTTATTTACATGAAAGTATAATATCATTAAATATATATTCAATATTCAGTCCAATGCAATTCTTTAATATACACGGTGGCATTATGTATCCAAAAATATCCAATTTTCCGAATCGGAAATTAATATCCTCTGTATTATTTTTCAAATGTTAAAATGTGTCTTTTATTCTTCTCAAAGAGAGAATGGTTGGCAATACATTAAAATTTGAATAAAGTTAATAGCAACGAACACAGCAGAAATGTGGGGAGATGAAAAAATAGCGCCCTTATATGAGAAACACAACGTCATCATGTATAAGGAAAACATGTAAATGAAATAATAATAACTCTTTTAAATATTTTCCACTTACATTAGGGAGACGGGGGGGGGGGTGTTATAGGGAAACATAGAGATACATGTATATAGATTTAGACAACCATTTTGCATATAATTTTGCAATACTATATATTTATTGACTAAGTTCGAGGGCAACCTGCGTTTTGTCGGACCCTAGTTGTCTGAGGCCGTTAGGCCAAAGGCAGACAGTTTGGTTCGAGGGTCGACAAAACGTATTTTCCCCGAAAACATAGTCAATAATTGTTTTGTTATACCTTTCATTTTAAATTGTTTTTTGACATACATGTATTTTGAACTGTCTTTCGTATTGTAATCTCAGGTCCGTCACTGTTGAACACAAACAAATGAAAATGAAATGAAGCTCCGCCATTCTGTGACGTAAGCGGTCCAACATCTCACAGACCAGTCCAACATCTCACTCAGCAGTCAAACATCGATATTTTTTATGTTCGCTCAGCAAAGCATTAGAAATGTTAGATTTTTTGGTATAGATTTGTATAGGACAAATTTTTAAAGGTATAACAAATGTATTTGGTAAATTACGGTGGTGGTCAAAGTCCCTGAACACTTCAAGTCTACTACGGCAATTTCTACTGACTACAAGTAACATAAACAACACATTTTTGCCTAAGATCAAATAATTACTTCAGTATAGCTGTCTTAAGACTCAAGTCTCTATGTTTAAGTGCTCGCAGTATTTTTTTTCTAAAAAAAAACCCTAGTATTTTGGTTATTTTCTTTTATAGGGCGGTGATATAAAAGGTTTAAAACACGACAAGACAATTCATATATTGAACACATTTTATCGACAAAACTTCAAGTACATGTAAATGGTTATATACAAGCAAATGATGGTTCAAATGAAATACATGAATTTCCAAATAAAATTCCAAGTTCTCTTTCAAGGTTAGTACAACCAGATTAAAAAAAAACTCTTGTTTATACTCTACAAATGAGTTTGCATTGTTCAGTTTACATTAATATTCATTTAATGGATCCAATCACTTGACGTCTATGGCCTTTCTTCCTAAAAAGAAAAAAAACAATATATTGATGTTATGGACCATAATTATAATCAAACAGACTTGAACAAATTAAAAGAATGTAATATAACAAATAAGTGTTTTATGAACAAACAAAACAATAACAATGTCAGCGTGTTAAACTTAATAAATAATCCTTTCTTATCTGATTCCGATTTCTCTTTATATAATACTGTACATACATGTAAATCATTTTATTTTAAGGGTTTTACAAAAGATTTTACAATAGATGATTACTAATTTCATCATAAATCTTTTGTTTTTTCCGAATCCAAACTCAAATGAGAGTTGAATCTTATGACCTGGTGAAATTACATAAAATTTTTGAAAACCTTATTGTTTTCTCTAAGTTTTATAGTTTGCCTGATTGAAGAAGAGATATATCGTAGGAAATCCAAAATTTAAAACTTTTGACAAGAATACCCTCTACATGTAGCATTTATAAGAAGCAGAGAAAATCTTATTAGGCCAAACAGTCACCTATTTCTTCAATCTGTTTAAAGCAGAAAGAAAGCAAATGCCAAATTAATGTTTGGGGAATCGTATAATACCTCTCTCAAAGTTTTATTCACTGTTTCCCATTTCCGTTGATTTTAAGTCCTTTGAAGTGTTCTGTTGCCCTTCTTTTCTGGACTCCTGGTCTGTTCATCATGCGATCATAGTAAGCCTTGAGTGTAGGAAAAGCATCCAGACAGGGGGAAGATAAGGTCACCAGGCAGTCCAAAAGGTCAAACAGATTATAGTCCGTAAAGCAAATCTATAAATTTATCTCGTATTTGAATAAATTATGGATACTTTCTATTTGTTTCTCATATATATATTTTTTTTTTGGTACGTCAGATTAATAATAAAGTTGCAAAAAGAAAGTAATAACCGATTTTTCAAAAACAGATTTTCCAAGGGCATTTATATGTAAAGTAATCTTAAAGGCTAATAATAACAAACCTTGCTACCCAGTATATAATCACCACCTTTCATTAGGTTCTACAAAAATACAATTGCTTGAATAATATCATAAAATAAAGGATAAAATACATGTAGCTCAAAATGAACGAAGGCACTATAAATTTCTCTTTTGAATTTTCCCCTCATTAACTCAATATGTTAAATCACACCAATAAAGTAGTAATTAAGTAACTTGAAGTCATTTAAGTTCTCCTTCATATAAGTAAACGCTACTATGACAACTGACTGTGTCACTTAATTTTTTTATGCATAAATTATATTCAGATAATTTAAATAAATTTTATTAGATTAATTCAGATAATTTAAATAAATTTTAGTAGATTAATTCAGATAATTTAAATAAATTTTATTAGATTAAACAGAGTTTGTAAAGTAACCAAGTTGTAACCAGAGTAGTTAACCGCTTTTCCTTCAGCTTGGTTCCTAACATTTCCATATTATCTATAGGCATTGGTTAGCCTCGTGACGTGTCTATTTACATTAAACATGGAACTCGAGTTGAGAAAACCGGAAACTAACTCGCACAGGTTATGATTCAGCAGAAACTTTTATTTTCATTGGCATGATAAGTCTTTATAAGTCTCTATAACAAGTCCAGATTTATTTTCTGTATCAGCGACTTACATTTTTAAAAAACATATTGCTCTTTGTACAACTTCTTTACGTTCAAGTCAAGATATGCTTCAAGAATATAAAGTATTTTCATTTAAAAAAGAGTATTGAAAGCAGATAACTAACAAGGGATAAGACCCTTGTAGAAGCATTAAAAAATTTAGGCAAACCCTATAAGCCTCCCAAAGATTAATTCGAACAAACCTCAAAATACTTCAGTTTTCCTGGAAGTTCTTCAATAAAAGGACCTTTTCCTTCCTCCTGTAAAATTATGTTAATCAAATGTCTAATCAACCTATAAAATCTCATTTTAAGACAAGTTTATCAATAATACATTATGGTTTGTTCTTACATAAGTCAAATGGCTTCCAATAAGACTCTGTTGGATAATTGTCAATCATTTTTAAGTTTATTTGTTCATGCTTTACTGCTAGGGAAGACAACCCTTTTCTATTGTACCGTATATCAGGTTTCTTGGCGGGGGTAATGTATGGGGCTTTTCCTAAAGGTACGCACATAATTTTTGAGTAATTAATTGTAGCGGATACATGGATTTGACACGTTGGAAAAGAACACTAGGAAGAGTTTTGATTATTTTAGCAATTAAATTTTAGCTGGTTTCTAAAAAACCTCAAAAACAAGCCAAAATTAGCACCCCGATAAAAAAAACCGCTTTACGGTATTTAGGAATTTTAATTTGCTTAAATTCAAGCCCCTTCATATGCATGGGCTTGCTAGAAACAGCATTGACCAAATTAATTTTTATATCTTTTTTGAGGTCAACAATATCTGACTGTCTTGCAAATTGCAAAAACTTTTCTCTCTAAAGCACCTGGAAAAGCTGACAGTACTCGAACTTTTCTTTTTGCAAAAGCAAATAATACTTGCATAGTTCTGATAAATCATTCTTAGATATTCTTTTCTAAGATCTTCCACTCCATCATTAATCATGTCCGCTCTTGTTGCTTCTTTATTGTTTGAACCATACAAATCTAAGGGTATCACAAAAATATAATATTTAATATAAAACAGCATTTAATGCATCCAGTTTTATGTACTGTATAGGAGATTTAGATGGAATCACTATGGTCAATGATATATGTCTGAGATTACGGAGATGGCTGTTTTGATGTAATTATAACTTAAAATAACTGGTTTTGGTTGCTCTCGTTTAATTTATCTAGAAACACTGTATATCTTATGCGCATTTTAGTTTTGTTATTTGGCAATACACATGCCCAATCCTACCCAGTTTTCTAGCTAGATATCTCAGGATTGCATTGGACTGTACAACCTCAACATCTCCATCCTTCACATATGGACACTGGCCAAACGCCTAAAAAATTGAATGATGCTAGACAAATTGACCATTTCATTAATATTTAATACTTTACTTAATCAAAACCCCCATTGAATGTCATGCATCGCACCTGGCCGCCATAGTACCAATAATACATTTATACTTTACTGGGATTATATTTTTTAATAAATATTATATAACAAAAAAGATATTTAATAAAATTTCATAATATATTATAATATTTGTACATTGTGCTTGTGCGTGCCCTGGTAAGAACTTGTTATGAAATGAATCATGTTAAGTCAAGTATGTTGCAACTGTGTGTGTCTAAATATTTATCTAATATAAATTTGTGCTTTGTGTTGTCTGTATGATGTATTTAACTATCATATTTCAGGTTATTCTTTACCATCTTTATTAGAAATAATTATTTGAAACCAGAACAAGTCTTTGATGTTATCTACTACTGGCTGCCTTAACATGGGCATACCTTTAGTTGGATATAGCTATGACTTAAGTGTATTCACAAAGCCTTTCAACTTTAACCTTGACAATAACATTTGAACAACTGGAAGAAATTCCTAATTTACATGTGTATTTGATTTAACAAATAAGTCCTTTTTTAATAATATAAACATTTTATATACCTTTCGACTGTGACCTTTGAGTTTGATCCACCTTTTAAAAATCTTTAACATTGGTCATGAATTTTAAACATTGAGGACTAGGACCTTTATTTTTCAAATATCTTCTCCTTTGACAAGGCATTTCTTTGAATACCAACAATTTTGACCTTGAAGTTGAAATACTTTTTGAGATTTAACCTTGATCATCAATTTTATTCAGTTGATGATAGGGCTCTAATATTTCACAGGTATATTTCTATAAAGACAAAACCTCACCCTTTGTACTTAACTCGTAAGTCAAGTACAAACATTAAAAAAAAATAAATCTTGGTCATAACTTTTAAATTGTTGATACCTGCATGGGCTTTTATATTTCACAGGTGTAATTATTGAGACATGTCCTTTCTATGGATAACAACACTTTTCACCTCTAGGTCACACATGTAAAAACGTGTTTGTGATCTAAACACTAATCTAAAAAAAATTTAAAAATCTAAAACATTTTTTAGAAATCAAAACACACACGTTTTTGAAGCAGACTTACCATCTTTGATTTCCAATTTTTCTTCCAGTTTTCCCATGGTCCACAATCAACTTCCTCATAATCCACATTATTGTCAACCATAAGAGTCCTTATAGACTCACCACGCCCTGCGAATAGAATAGGATAACATATATCATGTTTAAATCTTATGTTATTTATTAATTTGTTTAAACTGAAAAACGATGATAAAATACTTTATTAACAAATTTAACACTTCTTATTCACATATGAGGATCATACATGTACACTACAATATGTACAGTTACTATAAGAGGCTGTACGCTTCGCCCATCCACTAAATATTTAAGAGAATAGCAGCACTATATTTTCAGCTGTCTAACGTATTCTGAACTAGTTACTAACGATCGACCTTTATCTAATACTTGAAACATAAATATCCACTTTATACAATGTGTTAAAAATGGTGAATTTCGTTAAAGCGCTTGGCGTGCAGATGTATTTCTCTCATAGTGGTTGTGTCGACAGCTTCAAGGGAACAAAGAGACTTAACACCCTAATAACATGACTAAAACAACAAAAGAAAGTTAACTCTCAAGATACAAAAGTATAAGACAAAGTATATTTACAAATATATAATACTTACCCCTTGCTTGAAAGTATACAAGCTGTAATTTTGCCATGCTTATGATATACACACATAAAGCACAAAAACACGTCTTTACCTTGACCAGTTGACCTATTTTTCGTGGCTGCTCAGATTAAATTACAATAATCTGTGGCTTAAAATAATGTAGGCAATTCCCGCGCATGCCTTAATTATGCATCAACAACGATAAACATTAAATACAACATTCCTACTGAAAAAAAAAAATGAATGATTAAAAAGATATTTATTTGTGTCTCTGCAACTTTCGGTTTCGTCTGCAAAATTTTATTCTGAATCTCAATCCCGAATATAAAGTTAGAGTGGTAGTAGAAAGACTTAAAAAATGAGAAAAAAGTCTTAACAACGATTGCATAAAAATTTAATAAAACTAAGACTTTCAAAATATAGGTATGAAAGGTATAAACATTTCTAATTGTTTAAGTCTTTCAATCTACCAAATTGAAGGAATAAATAATTAATCAATTCACATTGCATAAGGCACACGGGCCTGTAACATAACTATGTTTGAATATAGTACTACTTGATCAATATTCTCTTTTTTATACATAGAAAAATGTAAATCAAGCATATATAATGTAACTGGTCCTGTGACATAAGGCGAATTACATCTTTAGGTAGGTATAATTGGAGCCATTAAACGTATGATTTCTTTTATTGTTAAGCCTTTCTTACATGACATATTACTATTTACGCATGTAAAAAAAAAACTGTGCGACCACAAAACGTAGTATAGTATTTCCTGCAGCTACATAATAAGACTGTGATGGCGGATAAAGCAGAGAAATACTATGGGTAAAATTCCGCACGTTTATTAGTGGTCGCCAATATATGTGACAATAATACAGTGACTTACAGAGGATTGGTAAACACGTCTGAACGGGTCGACAATCAGCACAAGAGAGAGAGAGTATTACGTCATCCGCATCATTGCTGGACACGTGATCGGAGGCTACCGGGGAATTCGTCCCCGGCTCCTCCAGGACCACCACACTCCTCCCCATTTTATAATAGGGCGTCCCGGCCCGTAATATATACATACAATGGGGTAACTAAGATGTACAATCGATAATAATAATAATTAACACTTAACAGGGTCTATCATACATACATACACATGCATTCACACAATAATAAAGCTTTAAACATTAATGTCTCTATAATGATAAAAATCACAGATTTAACAGTTCATATCACACAGTCACTCATCCTCCGCGTCGTCTCGGAACACCACGAGGTCCCTCGTTGTTACCCTCCGACTCATGTCGTCAACCAAGTGGTCCAACGTTGATACATCTGGATAGGCTCTGCATAGTACATCTAAGGCGACATCTATAGTGCGGCTAAGACATCAGGACTATCTGCTCCCGATTCAGGTAAACTCAGGTAAGTACATCCGGGTTACATATATCCCGGCTAGAACAACACTGGTTTATAAGAATCCCCGCAACTGGGGTCCAAAGAACACCCTAAAATTCCTGAAAACCAGACCCGCTAGCAAGGCGACGTCCTGTCCCCTCGCTGCGGCGACCCGGCGGTAAACTTCTCCGATGTGCCTGGGGCCCATCGGCGCTTCAACTCCACAAGGAAAATCAGGACTGTCCAACTCAACTAACAGTCGGTCCATAGGAATAGCTCTGACTCCCGACAACTGAGTCGCGGACATATCCGCGATCTGACCTCCGATTCCAAAGAATACGGGTCTGCCAGACTCCACCCAGAGCCTAACCTGCTCCGGTCCACCGGTGAAACCACGGACAAAGATAGGTACTAGGATGGGAACAAACATCCCGTCCATCAGTGTAAGGCAATCTTGTGTAGGGACGCGGCCCAAAGGGTCGTCCGCTGTTCCCTTCACAACCAGAATCATCCCGGTACTGAACATCGCCTGGCGGAAGAACTCCGCCAGCACGAACCTCTGACACCTCTGAGTGGCTGGACTGGAATAATCCAGTCCAATTTCCCCCATCACACACATCTCTCATCTCAAACACCAAGTACCATATGCACCCTCCATGATACTTACCGTTTTTGCCTGCTCCGAGCTTTTATCTGCTTTCAGCTAAATATTTCTAGACCCCCTTCGCATATGCGTAAAGTTCTTGCTTCTACACTCTCCCACAACGCGGGCTACATCGGCCTGCAGAACGAAGTCCGCAGACCCAGGGGAAATCCCCTGAGCTACAACCCAATGCGGATTACCTGACTCCGAGAGGGGTTCCTCCCGGAAACTATAAGTTACGCAACCTCCCACCAATTCGACCTTTACGTCGACGGGACGGCGGTCCTCTCCTAGCAACTCCCCCACGGACTGTCCCTGACAACCCGGAATCCTCCGAGGGAACCACAAACAATCAACAACCTGGATAAGAGGGACCGTGGGGTCCGCTGACCAAGAAGGCCGCGGCGCTCCGCCGCTGGCGCCTTCCTCCGGCGGAACCACGACGATAACTGGTGGTTGCGGACTCTGCGCTACAGCAGTCGCGGTCGCCAAGCTCTCCCTGGAACCCGGAAGACTGTCCGGCACCAGGATCACCTCACTGCTAACCACTGATTCGGGCAACAACTCATCCTCCCATGACTCCGCTATATTCGAGCGGGACCTCTCTAAGTAATGCCACGTTCCCATCAAATCCGCCCCATTCAACAATATGGCGATCACCCTGGGGTGGACAAGCATGGCAACATGGGGCAGGTCCCCCATCCGCACTCTGCGGATCTCCGGCTCCATGGGCGGCACAATACCCAAATGCGCTGAGAAACGAATCATCAGGTCTCTAACAGAGGAAGAAAATCCCCACTCGACCTTTCCCATCCGCCTAACAACCCATAGGCGGAGTTGTCCCAGCAATTCGAAATCACTGGCTCCATCCGAGGACACTCGGAGCAACCTGGCCAACTCCAGCAAAAAATTCCAGAAATACCTTAGGATCATCTACCCCCCTGGTGTGGTATTCCCAAATATGAGTTAACATCGGGGTGGCCCCCGAGAACTTCATTCCGCATGCGTGAACTGCACATCTGCGGGTGCCCCTAGCTCTAACACGGCGGGCTCCCGCCCCCTCCGCACCTGCGGGTACCAACCTTAACCTAGAATAGCTAGACAACCCAGCACGTCCGACTCCCTGGGGTCGGGGTGCGTTGGCTTCCTGCGATCTCGCAGGCTCCTGCCCCCCAGAACTCAGCTCTACCATCTCCGCCCAAGATGGTCCAGGGCGAACAGGCTGTTCCCGCCCAAATGGCGGCAAAAGAGGTGCTGCATCTGGAATTCCTGTAACTATCCCTCGGCCTCTGGGCGCTCCGAGGTTCCCTTCCGGCACTTCAACATCACTCGCCGGTGCGGCCACTTCGGAATCCGCGTCGCTGCGTTCCCGCATCTCTTCCTCGGCGGAGCTTCCGCCCTCAAAGACAAACTCATCAACTTCCTTAGACATCACTTATGAACCTACAAAGACAGGTAAGATTATCAAACCTATGTCTAAATTACTAATTCATGTACAAGTCCACCCTAACATGATGTAAACCCAACTGAGACTTGCACATGCTTCCGCATCATTGCGGAAACCTAGCTACTCTAACTAACCAGTGTCGACTCCGACGGGACTACATTCGGGGCAGATATATTGAGGTATCGACTTTGCGTAGTCCTCACTTATACCTACGCACCCCGGATGGAACCAATCCCGACAGTCGTCGCACTGCACCATCATCCCCTTAGGATTAGACTGTAGGCAAACACAATATTTCTTGGTTTTAGTCCCCCTAGTGGCTCTAGGTCTCTTGGGCGATTGGGGTTGTTTAGATTGATCTAATCTTTCCCTAACCCGTTTGCGAGTACCCATGTACGGACCTAATGACTCCGCTGGTTTGGGGCTAGTTTTTGAGTGACCCCCATTTCCCGGGCTCTCAGGACTAATTCCTGAGTCTGCGGTCCCCAGCGGTGCTACCACTTCATGTATAGGAGAACTATCCCCATCTCGGGCTACTGACTGTCCGGGCAACTTGTTCTTATAGTTTACTAACCATTTGGGGAGTTGCCTGGACTCGCACCTTTTAAGTTTGTCATGGTGCATGACCTTGACCTCGCGCCGAGATTTTACAACAAATATTGTGTCCGATTTAGCTTCAGTTATTATCCCAGGACCCCTCCATACTGACTCTACCTTTTTTCCCGCATTGCGGCGCCAGTAGACCAAATCTCCGACCTTGAACTTACTGGTACGGACCTTAATGTCATGCGACCTTTTCATTGCCTTTTGCGCGACTTTTAGTTTTCCGCGGGCAATGTCGTGCGCTCTCTGAACATTGTCTTCTAGATCACGTACATACTTGTCCACCTCACCCTCCTCCCCATTTTGAAAAGACGTGGAAGGCGGTGGGGCGAACATCAAGGTTGCTGGTATATTTACTTCTCTACCCAGCATGAGACGATTTGGGGTATACCCAGTATGGCGGTTTACCGCGGACCGCAACGCTCCAGCCAATGGACCTAAGTACTTATCCCATGACTTGGGCTGGCCATCTTCGTAGCAACGAACCGCGTCCATTAGAGTGCGGTTATAGCGCTCTACCTGGCCATTCCCTGACGGACGGTAGGGTGTTGTCCTGGCTTTATGTATCCCTAACATGGCGCAAATCTTACAGAACAGCTCACTTTCGAAATTACGGCCCTGATCTGTAAAGATTTCGTAAGGATAGCCAAATCGAGAAAAGAAGTCATTGATAGCGGAACGAGCGGTAACTTCCGCTGTCTGAGACGGAAGCGGAATACACTCTACCCACTTGGTAAAGTTATCAACCATCATGAGGATGTATTCGTTCCCGCTATCAGTTCGGGGAAGCGGCCCGAGAAAGTCTAGATGTACCCTCTCCATCGGGCTTCCGGCTTGGTAGCTCTTGAGCTCGGATCTGTTCGGCAGCGAACCCCGCTTATTCCTCGCACATACGTCGCAAGTCTTGACATATAACTTAATGTCCTTTGTCATCCGCCACCAGTAGAACTGTTGCTTAAGTCGTTCTTTAGTTCTCTGAATTCCCTGGTGACCAGAGGACGGTATGTCATGACATAAGTGCATGATCTCGGATCTGAGACTCCGCGGCACTAGG